CCACCCCCGCCGGGGACCCAGCAGAGCCCAGGGACCTAGACCCCACCAGGCAGCCACCGGGATTGGTAAGGCAGATGCCAAAAATCTTAAACTCCCTGACCCGGGAGCCACGACCCAGGCAGACCAAGGCACCGCACTCCACACCAGGTATGGCAGGGAGAGGGGAGACGAAGATCCCTCAGCCTATTCGTTCAGAAATTTCTTTCTGTGTCTTACCCTCTTGCTTGAGGGTGTCAATGATGACCTTCTGGACAGCAGTCAGGTAGGCAGTCTTACCCATGATTGTCATTTTTAGTAATGAACCAGACTGGGAGTTTTTAAAAGCCTCAGGAATCTTTTGCAGGTGTTTAGAGCTAACTAGTTGATTCAGATGATTAGGTTCATTTCTCGTTTAGAGAACCTTTTCATGATATGTTAAATGTTTTAGATAGGAATTTTGGATTTTCATGAGCTGTATGCCAAAATCATCAATATTAGAAACAATAAAAGGCTTGAACTACTTCAGTTGTGTGTAATGAATCTAATATATATAAAAGTCTAATGTTTATCAGTACATTACAGAATATAATTAACTTTATCACAATATGCTAATTTTTTTTAGAAGGACCTGTAGTTGCAGAAGTGATTCCAGAACCTTCTTTAAAACATTTCAGTGTTTATGAATAACCTGTTAGAAAAGGATGAAGCTGAAGTTTCATACCCTTTTTTAGTTTCCAATTCACAAATGGTTAAAAGAACAACTGCAACTAATTTTTCCTCCCCGAAATCATAAAACAACAGTTACTCCTCAAACCTGGATTATATTATTCTACATTAATAGTAGAGTCACTCAAACATATTTTATATTTGTGACTTTTTGCATTTGGACCACCTTAGAACTGGTTCAGCCTAATCCCTGGTGTAAACACTTTTTGGAGATGAGAGCGGCAGCTCAGCCGGCAACATGGCACATTTGACACATTTAAGGACAAGATCAGTTTTTCTCAAAAACCAAACGCATCTAAACTTGTGTACTCACTCGAGCGGAGGAAAATATCTAATAATCGCTGCATCAAGATGCAAACATAAACAATAATAAATCGCTGAAGAGGCAGACCCAGGGTTTCCCCCAGCACTTTATAAGCCTGGCGGGCCGCCAGGCTTTGCTTGCCCACCCGCCAGGCTAAGCGTCATGCCCCGCCCCGCCCCCCTCCCCTCCCCAACCCTACCGTGTCCGCTGACACAAACTGCGCAACAAAACTAGAGCCCTCCATCAGCTGATACTGGTGAGAAACAGCAGCGGAACATGTGCAACCACCCCACCCCCGCTCTCATGGAGGAGCACTGTATTTAATTACTGAAATGACTTATTATTCTTTGGGTTAATAATAATAATTATTTATGATAATCAGTAATGTGTGATCAGTAACCAGAAGGTCATTCAAACGTGTACACATCATGCAGGACTGAACCAGGGTAAAGTTAACTTGCTCTCACGTCTTTGCTCCATAAAAACAAGCTTTCTGACGCTGAGAGAGTGTGTTCTGAGGTTTTATTAAAACCAAATCTCCGCAGCTCAAGTTCAGTTCTTGAACCAACCAGAGGACGAGGGTCGGCCGCCTAAGCCTCTACTAAGCTGTTCTGTCATGCCGATAGAATTGCTCCGAATAAACGCACCTGTAACCAGCTGACGCAAAACTCCTTCAGAGTTATTGATTTTGAGACGCAAATAGTTTCATCAGTCGTTGTGACCCGGAGACATCTCAGGACCGATTTGAGTCACACTAAGGTCCTTCTACCAGCCTCGTGCTTGGAGGAAACCATCTCCACCTGACATCTTGGATCCACAGAGGGTCTCCTGAACTGGGTGAGGTAGACACTTTCCTGACAGATGGCATCTGATGCTGTTCTCTCTAAGAAACCACTCAGTTAGCTGCAAAACAATATTTTTCACCCAGAACGCGTTTCTCTCTCTGAAAGAAATCTTCTGAGATGTCATCCACACATCCAAACCTCGCATTTCATTTTAGCTTTCCATCCAGACACAGATTTGCTTTTAATAACTTTGGGCTGCATGGTGGCAGTGGTTAGCACTGTTGCCTCACAGCACGAAGGTTGCAGGTTCGAAACTCGGCTGCGGCCTTTCTGCGTGGAGTTGCGTGTTCTCCCCATGCATGCGTGCGTGGGTTTCCTCCGGGTACTCCAGTTTCCCCCACAGATCACAACATGCCCTATAGGTTATAAATTGTAAGTCGCTTTGGATAAAAGCGTCTGCTAAATGAATAAACATAAACATAACAAGTTTAATATCAAGCTGTTACAAATTGACATTTCTTTAAATTCTCATTTTCAATTTTCATCTTTAAAATTGTTTGTTAGTAATAAATTCTTCACTTTTTAAACCTGACTCTTCTTTGAAATGAAACACAAAAAGTTGTATATTTGGTAATTGAATAAGCAAAGAATCCATTAAGTCTTCTGTTTAATAAATAAACTTTTGCTATTAAATTTAATTATCTTAAATTAAAAATTAATCTTTGGATTAAAATATAGACCAAGACAGTTGGTGTATGAACTTCTATCGATTGTATTAATATCCTAGATATTTAGTTCAGTTCAGTTCACTTTATTTCAAACATATACATTCACCAACATTTCATAAAATCATTCCACGCAATTGTTTGAAAAGGAGTAGGGAAAAGTGTATACTTATTTAGCCCCACCCCCTCAGGTTTACATCCTCATCATCAAAATTTAAACAACAAAACAGTTACAATGCTTTCAAAAAAAAACACAAAAAAAAACAACAATAATAATAAATTAATTAAATTCTCATGTTCAACTAGAACTATAATTAGATTTTCTAATTTGTAGAAGAGATTAAACATCAGTTTGCATGCCGTCCTGGGTTAATTGCATTTTCTTCATTCTTATACTTATTTATTTCTTTTTTGAGTTTTATTTTAAACTGGTTTACATTACTACTGTCCTTTATTTCTTCTGTTAACTCATTCCAGAATTTAACGCCCTCTATTGAAATAGACATCCTTTTCAATGTTGTTCTTACTCTTTGTGCTTTTAAATTCCACTTCCCTCTAAAAATTATGCATTATATAAGGTCATCTGCTAATGTGCCTGGTCTTTTCTCAGGATCTAACCAAACTGATAGCAAACAGTGTTAAATCCTAGTTTGTAGATTGTCCACGCTACACCGTAATCCACTATCTCACGTATGTCACCAGTGTCGGCCCACGCACTGTTCCAATCCTGTGTATGCATTATGGCAAGTACTCTTAAAATTCCTAGGTGTGACTTAGCTCAGCCCATTGTATCGAGCATGCATCAATGCATCCTTCAGCGGACGTGGGCTGGCAAGGTATCCCATAATGCATTGCGTCCCAAACATTTATACCCCAAATGGAAAAAGGCAGAGGAGAAAGCTCAGAACTGTAGTGTTTTACGATAAAAATACGACTACGTAAAGCTTCCATATCATGCTATTTTAAACCTTTAAAAGCAAAGATAACCACAACACATGATAACACACTACAGTTGGCACTATTAAGATATCATTTATCCTAAAAGCAAGTTATTTTTGTCAGCCTGAATCTATACCTGGAAATAAAACGCTATGATTCTGTGAAACTCTGCCAACCCCCACTCCGACAAAAAGCACCCACAACAGCGTCTTAGGCCATCTGAGGTTGTGTTGGCTTTCGTAGTCAAGCGGCTACAGTGACTGCCATTCATCTTGTACTGATGTGGGTTCGACCCCCGGTGTCGGCACTCGGCAGTAACTGATTTAGCCAGCTGAAGCAGAGTTCATTATATTGTTGTTTTATTGATTATTTTCTGCAAAATATTTTGTGTCTCTAAAGATCTTTGGATTTGGTCATTTCCAAGCAGCACTTTAGTGTATTTACTCTGCTCACCTCACATGGACTCACACTGGCTAAATAAACAAAGAAATAAAATAAAATTAAAATATAAAGACTGATCTGTTTTTTAACAGTTTACTATTAAAGGGTTGAAAACATCATTCTGGCAAGAGCAGCTAAAAAAATAAACAAGTCACTGCCGGGGGCAAATCTGCATAAAACTGCATGCCAGTCTGGCACTGTAACCTCTGGACTACTGAGTGGCCAACACAGGTCCTTAAGAGCATCTCTGTAGACAGGACGTGTGGTTTTTACAACGGTGATTTTCCCTTAATGCAGAAGTCATTTGTCAGATTATCCACAGAATATCCCGGTTTCAGAACCAAGACCACCAGATTCAGATTCTTACCACAAACCATCTTTCAATCGCAAATGTTGCAAAAAGGATTAATATATCCTCATTGTGAACGTTTAAGACAAATAGCAACACTTAAAACAACTTCCGAACTGGAAAAACTAACATCTGCGATAAACATCTGTTTAAGTACCGGAAGAGGGTATCTCTGCTTTCTGAATGTCCATATTGCTAGATATGCTGAGTTTTAGGGCGAAATCCTGGGGAATTTCGTCTAGAAATGCAATTACCCTAACCGTGCGCGATCCCGCGGTGGCTATCATTTTTTTGGCAGCGAGTCGATTTATGGCACAACACCGGCAGTACATAAATCACGTTTACGTCACAGGAACGTAAAGTTGTAAAACGCTGAGTGCGATCAAGCAAAACTCTCGGTACTAATGTAGACCAGTGGCATCGGTGCTTACTCTTTATTCAACTGCAAAATGAAATGGGACAACGTGACCTTTGAACTTTCCCACACATCAACGCTTGTGAATAATCTGGTCCGTTTGGATTACTGTTTTAGGACGAATCGACAGTTAAAAGGGCTTCAGCTTCGTTAGAGGAGGCGTGTTTAGTTAATTCCTACAGTGATTATTAATATGGCTGTAATTCATGATGATGTTTCAAGAGGCTTCAACAGTGTGTAAATTAGCTTTTAGACTAAAGAAACTGCTCTTCCTACTTTTACGTTGACTCAAAATGCGTTTCAAGCAGCAGATGATCGGTTTGGGTTTTTGTCTCACCTTGCCGGTCCGTCCTGCTGGTACCGGTACCGATCCTCTTCTCCCACCTGGCACATTACAACCCGTCAAAGAAAACAACAGACCATCACATTTCCTCGTGCTTCACAGTGGCGATTGTTGATGACGTAACACTCTCTTGTCAGAGGGGACATCCTTCAAAGGTACATTACTACCACCTACTGGATAAAGTGTGCAACAACAGCTGGTCCGGGTCGTTTTAAAAGATCACTTTTAGATCCGCTTGTGTGTCCCTGCACTTAATACTTAACAATACAGGGACCATTAATAAAGGGAACTTTTGTTAATTGATGTTTAATAACACACTAAGGGACCCTTATTGTGTGGTGTTACTGAAAAAAGTTTCTTTTTCGTCCATACAGAGCTTTTTAAGGCAACACTGCTTTTATTTTTATTGTGGGTTGGCTAAATGGCATTTTGAGGTATCGTTAAGAGTCAGAAAAAAATCAAACGTGTACACACACGCACGCACACACACACACACACACACACACACACACACACACACACACACACACACACACACACACACACACACACACACACACACATACATAACAGACACATTTATATTTATTTATTTAGACTTAATAACTTGTACTTTTGATATAAAACACAACAGTTATGAGCTTATGGCGTTTAATGGTTTGTGACACAGTGCATAATGAGGTACTTTGCCAACCTAAATCCACACATTCATAATAAAATGAGCAGAGCAAGAACACATCTGGGAATGTGCCATCATATGCACGTTGGACTGCATTAGTACTTGGGCCATTGTTGTTGACATTTCACAAGGTCCTGTCGGCTTCATCAGAACATGATCTCTGGCTCTCACTGGAGCGGTTTGCAGCCGAGTGTGAAGCAGCCGGGATGAGAATCAGCTCCTCTGAATCCGAGACCATGGTCCTGAGTCGGAAAAGGGTAGAATGCCTTCTCCGGGTCAGGGACGAGGTCCTGCCCCAAGTGGAGGAGTTCAAGTAGCTCAGGGTCTTGTTCAGGAGTGAGAGAAAGTTGAAGCGTGAGATCGATAGGTGGATTGGTGCTGCATCTGCAGTGATGCGAGCGTTGTACAGGTCTGTCATGGTGAAGAGAGAGCTGAGTCAGAAGGCGAAGCTATCGATTTACCGGTCGATCTACGTTCCTACCCTCACCTATGGTCATGAGCTTTGGGTAGTGACCAAAAAAACAAGATCACGGATACAAGCAGTCAAAATGAGTTTTCTCCGCAGGGTGGCTGGGCTCTCCCTCAGAGACAGGTTGAGAAGCTCGGTCATCCAGGAGGGGCTTGGAGTAGACCTGCTGCTCCTCCACATCGAGAGGAGCCAGTAGAGGTGGCTCAGGTATCTGATTAACATGCCTCCTGGACGCCTCCCTGGTGAGGTTTTCCAGGCACGTCCAACTGGGAGGAGACCTAAAGGGAAACCCAGGACATGCTGGAGAAACTACGTCTCTCAGCTGGTCAGGGAACACCTTGGGATTCCTCCGGAGGAGCTGGGCCCAGTGGCTGGGGAGAGGGACGTCCGGGCCTCTCTGCGTAGGCTGCTGCCACCACAACCCAACCCCAGATAAGTAACTGAAAATGGATGGAGGGAGAACATGCATGAGCATGCTCTCCAGGATAAAATCTGTTTAAATGCAAAGGTCATTGAAATATGAATTTGTTGTAAACAAAAGAGACAGAAATGTTTATTAAAGGTTTACATTTCATTGTACACATTGTTCTCTTACATTAAAAGGCTCATTGAAGCATATTTTGAATGACCTGATTTAGCTTTTCGATCAGTCTAAAGTATTAAAGGTCCCTGAAACCCACTCTACTTTTAAATGTCTGCATTTGTTTACAATTATTGGACAAAAGCCTTAAATTAAACCTTCAGAGAAAACACTCCTGTAGCTGTGCCTTTTGAAAACAGAAACACAAAAATATTCAGATAAAAACAAACACAAATATTGCTCATTAATTGTTCTTCTATGTCCTCCTTCACCCCAACCCCCAACCCCAGTCCTTCATCTAAACTAACTCTTGAGTTTCTAAGCCTGGTTTACACATCTCCATCAGCTTGGATGTGGAGTCTCACTCACACACACGCATGTACGCAAACACACACACACACACAGCCTTTTCAGACTTCTGTTACCTGGGGTTGGTCCCCGCCAGGACAACAGGAGGCGTAGCCCTATTCTAGGGGCCCCCACCGCCTTAGAAGTCACGTTTCTTATCCACGGTAGTTTATTTACTATTGTGTGTTTTTTACATCAGAGACGTTTTAACGTGAACACATTTGCCCCTCATTCTCCTACCTTTTTACACAGTCACCCCTTCCAAACCTACGTCTTCCTCCCTCAAATAAAACCTTTTCTGTTTATCTTTGTACTCCTTCACCTACAGGTGTAAAAACGTTTCTATCGTCGGACTTCCTCCACTAGATGTTCTTCAACCTGCTCTGTCTGCCGCTGATAATCTTCTGTACTCTTTTTATTTTTTTTGAAGGGGGGATGGTGGGACTGTTGACAAATTCACAGTACGAGGTGTGCTGACCAATCACAGGCTTGCTCTCTCCGTAGCTTGCAATGAACAGTTGAACAAATCGGCATGTCTCCGCCACCCATTGGCGGGCCTGCTACACAGCGCTTGCACGTCGTGGCGTTGCATCTCTCCTTCGCTCAGCTGATGGAGAAACATGAACCAGGCTTAACTCTCTAAAGTTTTCCCTCCTGTGTTCCTAAGATTGTGAATTCATTTCATTTCTCTACTGATTGGTAGATTTCAGAACATTCCCTACAAAGGAATGGCCTTGTCGTTTTCATCCCTCTCTCTTGTCCCACTCTTGTCCGGACATGTTGGACTGAAGTTCTGGGCAGCCGTGTGGCCCTGCTCCAGCCAGGTCCTGGCACATAATGGTATCATGGGAAGACACTTTGATCCTGCTACATACTGATGTGGTGCTTTCTTCCTCCCTCCTCCGTTGTTCTGGTGTCGGAGCAGGAGCCCTGATCCCACTGCTCAACCCCACCCCACTGCTACCAGATGGTTTTTTGGATGGCGGACCCCATAGAAAGGCGTGGGGGGGTTTGTAGTGCTGGCGGGCAAAGCGGAGCAGGCGTCGGCGTGTGGCCGGCAGGCGGATGGTGTAGACAAAGTACTCTAGGACACTGTGCTGCATGTTGGGAAGGGTACTGTTACACAACGACTCCTCCAGAAAGAGTTGGACCAGTGGAGCTTTGAAGGCCTCAAATCCAAGTTCACCCAAGGACTTCAGGATCCGAGTGATCCGCAGGTAGTTGTGGTGGGATCTTAAATCAGAGAAAGAACATGTTTACTGACTCAAAATACCATACCATACCATACCATAGCTTATTTATATAGCACATTTAAAACGCAGCATGGGAGCTGCCCAAAGTGCTGCACAGGCTAAACCAAAACACGACCAATCTAAGCAACTAAAACAGAAGATAAAAATCCCGATCAAAAGCAGCTAATAGGTCACTGGAGCATTTTAACAAAAGGTTCGTGTGCATGCTGGCTGGATGAATTAATGAATTTTGACAAGTTTAGCAAGTGCAGACGTAGATGTAACAATGGAATAACCGAACTGGGACTAAGGCTCGATCTGGTACTGACCCTTTAAACCTAGTGAAGCGGTGGAGGTTGGAACTGGACATTTAATTTGAACAGAGGAAGACTCTTCTCTCCCCACCTTACCGCAATTGAGGGGTTTGAGTGTCTCAATGATTCTGGGAGCTAAACTGTCACCTTATGCCTCTGGTAGGGCCACCCATGGCAAACAGGTCCTAGGTGAGGGATCGGACAAAGAGCAGACCAAAGACCCCGTATGATGAGTTCCATCAGTGAAAACAGTGTTCCCTCGCAGGTCACTAGGACCCACCTCAGGAGCCAGGCCTGGAGGTGGGGCATGTTGGCGAGTGCCTGGTGGCCGGGCTTTCACCCATGGAGCCTGTCCGGGCACAGCCCGAAGAGGCAACGTGGGTCCTCTTTCCCATGTGCTCACCACTCATGGAAGGAGCTAAATGGGTCGGTTGCAATGTGAGATGGGTGGTAGCCGAAGGCAGGGACCTTGGTGGTCTGGTCCTCGGCTAGAAAAGTTGGCTTTTGGCACGTGGAATGTCACCTCTCTGGCGAGGAAAGGGCCTGAGTTAGTGTGCAAGGTTGAGAGGTTCAGATTAACAGTCTGACATAAGGCTCTGGTTCTGAAACAAGCTTCCTTGAGAGGGGCTGGACACTCTACATCTCTGGAGTGGCGCCGAGGGGTGGCCTCCACCTTGTTGCCCTCCACCTTGGTGCCTGTACATTGTGGTTTACCCCGGTAGCCTCCCTCCAGCTATTTGTGGGGTGCCGGCTCCTGAGTGTGGTTTGTGCTTATGCATCAAACTGCAGTTCAGACTACCCACTCTTTTTGGAGTCCTTGGAGGGGGTTCTTGAGAGCGCTGTGGGAGCGCAATGTAGTTTTAGTCCTTTACCCTTAGGGGGGTCCTGGATGGTGAGTGGGAGTTCGCCTAATCAATCATGCATTTTGTGGATTTGGAGAAAGCCTATGACCGTGTCCCTGCAACAACATGAGGTGCATTACCATCACCTACCGACCTGGAATGGGGACTCTCTCTCACCACTGACCCACAAGGGCTGTGGTTGAAACTGTGTGTGTGTGTGTGTGTGTGTGTGTGGTTCATGTTCGCGTGTGGGTTTCTTTACTCATTAAGGTGCTGGAAGCGTCCTTGCCAGTTGGAAGCCCGGGAAACTTTTCCACTTTTATCCAGAAGTTTGATTCCATAAAAATCCAGCATCAAGGAATAGGCCGCCACAAACCTCCGCTTTGCTTCCCGAGTGCTTTGGAATTCCTGACAGCAGGAAAAAAACAAACATGTTTTCTATAAAGGCATGAAGGGTGTGGAAGTCTGAGTTCATAAAGACAAAGGTTTGTTTTCCTTCATGAACGCCAACACCACCAATAATAACTTCATCCATTCATATCACCAAATCACAACAAGAGTCATTGAAATGCATTTTATAAAGTAAACATTCCAACTGAACCTACTTTAAGGGACCCTGATTGGCTTACAGACAATGTCATGTGTTCCTGCTCCAGATCAGGGTCTCATTCATGAAACCGTCTGAAAACTGAGTCACTTTCAACATCAACTTTATTTACAAAGAAACACGAAACATGAAAATGGGCAACTGGCTCTGATTCAACCACACACACACACACACACACACACACACACACACACACACACACACACACACACACACACACACACACACACACACACACGCACACACGCACACACACACACACACACACACACACACACACACACACACACACACACACACACACACACACCATCAAAACATTAATATAAGTTACTCTAGTAATGTGGAGGTAAACTAAAGGTAAGAATTGTCTTCAGGTGTATTTATTAGAGTTTTTATTAGGCTGATTGATCAAGCTGGAACACCGTAACACTTATATAACCGGGGAAACCCCAGATGTGTACTCACCAAACAAATCCTTTCAGATCATCACATCTACTGATTTTACTCCCAGCCACTGACAATTTCTCCCTTTGGACAACTTTTATTGGCATAAACATCAATATATGACATCTGGTTAGCGGTAGGGTGTTAAAACAGCGACCGGCTCCGCTCTCTGATTGGTTCTTTTCTCATCTAGTCCCGCCTTTTCGATTTGTTGAAAGGTTCTTTTGTATGGTATCCCATCTTTTCCATCTTTTGACTGGATTTTCAATTTTTTTTTGTCATCTTTATTTGCCAACAGAAATATCGGTCAATATTCATCAAAATTTAGTCTTTGTTTTTGTTTAGTTTTAGTCCGTGAAAATCCGTTTATCACGAAAAAAAAGAAAGTCCACAAAATTAACACTCCTTCCAAGAATGCAGCCTTTAGATAGATTTAGTAAGGATTCTACACAAAGTTGTATAGAGATCCCTTGGTTAGGTTTCCAGTGACACCCGCTGCAGTTTATCCGTGTGGCAGCTTGCTGATGTAGACCTGAACCTGCTTCAGTGCACAGAAACGGCTCATCCTGATGGCACATCAGTGATGGGGTGAAACCTGTCACTTACTTTGATCTCATCCTGAGTCAGCTCATGTGCGTAGAAGTTGAGCCCTTGTTCTCTGAGTGGGAACAGCCTGAAACACAAGGAACAGTCGCCAAGATAAGACCCTAATCAGGCACACGCGCACGCGCACACACACACACACACACACACACACACACACACACACACACACACACACAGTTTCAACCACAGCCCTTGTGTTGTGTGTCCCCCTTTCTGGTGTTTTGCTATGGTGCTGCACCTGAGGAGTCTTCTGCCTTGCAAATCCCTTCAGTATGTGTTCAGAGGAGCTGTCCGTTCAGCACCATACCCTGCAGGCTGGGGCCACCCTTTCGCGCTCTACCTGGCTCCGCCCTGAATTACCAGCTGTGCAGAGTTACAGTGGCTGGAAGAATACACCAGTGTGTAACAAATCTTTTTGAAGCAGATCCTCAATGAACCACAGATCTGACTTTTCTCCAGCCTGTTGACACCTCGACAGACTTTGAACCTCTTTTGAGTGTTTATTTGTCGTCCCAGGGTTAGAGAGGGGGAGAGAGGGAGAGAGAGAGTGTGCGTGTTTATTGTACATGTATTTTGTACCATGATGAGCAACTTGGAGGAGTCCATGTGTAAAAGTTAGTTGGTTAAAGTTATTCTGTTGTGCATTCCTAAAGAACTTTAGGTTCTTTATTTTTAGTTTTTAATTATAGCCAAGTTTTGTGCTGTGTCCCAGTTTGACTTTGTGCTTTGAAAGAAACTCTTTTTGGGACTGTCCAGACATCAAAAATAAAACTTTTGTTAATCTTACTGCTTGTGTAAGTGTCCCCCGTGTTAACCCAGGCCCCACTGACACTTGGAGGAAGCAGTATATACACTATGCACTTGACCCGGTCTAGATTAATGTGAAGTGTGTGTTCCCTGAATAGTCAAAGAAACTAAAGTCTTATGATTAAACATTCAAACACCAATCAGATTGATATTTCACATTTATATGGAATATCACATCGTACTGATCATTTAATAAATATGTAGCTAATCCTGACCGCTACAATGATCTGATGATGGTTATGATTGTGATGATATAGATGTTGATGATGATGAAGATGATTATGATGGTAATGATGATGATTATGATGATGATGAAGATGATACAGATGATGATGATGATGATAATGATGGTAATGATGATGATATAGATTTCGATGATGATGAAGATGATTAATGAGGGTAATGATGATGATAAAGATGATGATGATATTGATGATCATGTGACTATGATGACTAGGGGATTAAAGGAAAGTTGTGTAAAACTAAAATAAAATACAACAGCAACACTACCATGGGGGTTTCTAGCCTGGTTTTGGACGTGCTGAAGCACCCCTAAATTCATCCCTAGCACCCCTAAAGTTTGACATTTTTAAATGTATCTACTCATTTTTACTGTTTGTTGTAATTTTCTAACACCTTAGTAATATATTAAAACCATACAATAGGTTAAAATATTATAATTTAAAAACAAAAATACAGCAAATCTCCCCCGTCTCAAAGATGGTTTGTTACTGCTCACATTACCAGACTTGGCTCTGAGGCCCTGAGCCTCCTGAGTGGCTGACATGCTGCCGTTAAGGTGACCAAAGTTCCTGCTTTCTGTGGGACACTCCTGAATTGACATTATTTGTCTCAGGTCCTGCTAATTTAGAAACCGTCCAGTATTTTTGACTGTCTCCCATTTTGTCTTTGAATCTTGTATGAACTGATTGTGAGGCAACAAAAGCTGCTGCCAATCAAGCTAGGAGACGGGACTTTGACGCAGGTCCAGAGCACGCCGCTCACAAACCTCCAAACCAAAGGGAAACGACAGAGTGATCCTGGACCAATGGGAGATGAGCACAGTGGAGAAATGCTGTTACAATAGAGACTGAAGGGTTAAAGCTGCTCAGGTTCCTCAGTAATCAGACAAGCTGGTGCTACAGAAGCCCAATAATAAGGTTCTAACACAGACAAGGCGGTTGTGTTGCTTCATAACCGAACCCTTTTGAACTACATGAAGGAACAGATGAAATTATTTAATTAATGCCTTGATTATTTATTCTGAGACGTCTGAGAAAAAAGTCAGAACATTAAGTATAAACTAACTTTTGTCAGAGATCAAAATCGGTGATCGTTTTTCTCTCCCCTAAATATCTGCTGTAAGAGACTAGTTTTCATTTTTGCTAAACCACCATTTTTTTGCTAGTTTTTAAAATCAAGAAGAAATATAAGAAAAATATTTTTTTAAAAGTTAGGATTTTTTAAGGGATGTTGATATTTGTGAAAAATTATGTGAAAATCAATATAAATTGATCTAAAAAGCCTCTCCCTGGGCTGCCACCTTACCGTGGTGGAGAGGTTTGAGTGTCTCAATGATCCTAGGAGCTAAGTTGTCTGAGGCTTTCTGCCTCTGGTAGGGTCACCCATGGTAAACAGGTCCTAGGTGAGGGATCAGACAAAGAGCAGCCCGAAGACCACTTATGATGAATTATATAAATGGAAACCGTGTTCCCTCGCCCAGATGTGGGTCACCGGGGCCCCCCTCTGGAGCCAGGCCTGGAGGTGGGGCACGTTGGCGAGCACCTGGTGGCCGGGCTTTCACCCATGGAGCCCGGCCGGGCACAGCCCGAAGAGGAAACGTGGGTCCCCCTTCCCATGGGCTCACCACTCGTGGGAGGGGCCAAAGGGGTCAGGTGCAGTGTGTGACGGGTGGTAGTTGAGGGCGGGGGCATTGGCAGTCTGATCCTCGGCTACAGAAGCTGGCTCTTGGCACATGGAATGTCACCTCTCTGGTGGAGAAGGAGCCTGAGTTGGTGTGTGAGGTTGAGCGGTTCCGACTAGATATAGTCGGACTTACCTCAACGCCTCTGAGTCATGTTGTGGTGTAGGTATCTAACCCACGACAAACAGAATCAGTTCAGAGGCGGTGGTGAAAGTTGTAAACAAATAATTTATTAAAAGGAGGAACCAAGGGAGCAGCAAAACGTAGCTGATATCTTCAACGGGGTCGGGAGCGGGAATAGTCTGTAGGAGGGAATTGCTCAAGGGGGGGAACTGTTGGTCCGGTCTGGGTCGAGGATGGCTTCTTGGAACAGGAGGGTCCTGAGTTGGAGAAGGAGGGAGCTGAGCGAGGAGAGGGTGCAAAACCAGGTGAGAATTGGTGGGTTACTGGAGGTGGAGTTGACCAGAGAGTAAACTGGGAGACGAGCGGAGATGAGTTTCACCAGAGTTCAGCCAGTCAGAGATGGGAGGGTTTGTCCAAGGTAGAGTAATCATCCAGCGAAGTGATGGCGTCTCTCAGCAGCTTAAATACTCCCTGGCCGGCTGATGAGCTGATCGTCTACAGCTTGGCCACCACCAGACATGCCCACCTGCAGCAGGAGACTCAAAACCAAAACACAGATGGCAGGAGGAAACTCATACCATGACACTCTGGATCTGGAACCAGTTTCCTTGAGAGGAGTTGGACTTTCTACCACTCTGGAGTTGCTCCCACTGAGAGGCGCCGAGCAGGGGTGGGCATGCTAGTTGCCCCCCATCTTGGTGCCTGTACGTTGGGGTTTACCCCAGTGAATGAGAGGGTAGCCTCCCTCTGCCTACGTGTGAAGGGACGGGTTCTGACTGTGGTCTGTGCTTATGCACCAAACTACAGTTCAGACTACCCACCCTTTTTGGAGACCTTGGAGGGGGTGCTGGAAAGTGCTCCTTCCGGTGACTCCCTCGTTCTGCTGGGGGACTTTAACGCTCATGTGGACAACGACAGTGAGACCTGGAGAGGGGTGGTTGGGAGGAACGGACCCCCTGGTCTGAATTCGAGTGGTGTTTTGTTATTGGACTTCTGTGCCAGTCATGGATTGTCCATAATGAACACTATGTTCAGACATAAAGGTGTCTATATGTGCTCTTGGATACCTTAGGCCGCAGCTCGATGATCAGCTTTGTTGTTGTCTCATCTGGCCTGCGGCCGCATGTCTTGGACACTCGGGTGAAGAGAGGGGTGGAGTTGTCAACTGACCACTACCTGGTCGTGAGTTGGCTCAGATGGTGGGGGAGGATGCCAGTCAGACCAGGCAGGCCCAAACGTATCGCGAGAGTGTGCTGGGAACGTCTGGCAAAGTCTCCTGTAAGAAGGAGCTTCAATTCCCACCTCCGACAGAACTTCCAAAATGTTCCGGGGAGGCGGGGGACATTGGGTCTGAATGGACCCTGTTCCGTGCCTCCATTGTTGAGGCGGACGACCGGAGCTGTGGTCGCAGGATTTGTTGGTGCCTGTCATGGTGGCAACCCCTGAACCCGCTGGTGGACACCAGCAGTTAGGGGTGCTATCAAGCTGAAGAAAGAGTCCTATCAGGTCTTTTTGGCCTGTGGGACTCCAGAGGCAGCTGACGGGTACCGGCAGTCCAAGCGGAACGCGGCTCGGGTGGTCACCAAGGCAAAAACCCAGGCATGGGAGGAGTTTGGTGAGACCATGGAGCAAGACTTCCGTACGGCTTCGAGGAGATTCTGGTCCACCATCCGGCGCCTGGGGGTGTGGGGGTGGGGAGAGCAGTGCGCTACCAACACTAGCTATAATGGGGATGGTGTGCTGCTGATCTCTACTCAGGACGTTGTGGATTTGTGGGCAGAATACTTCGAAGACCTCCTCAATCCCACCGACACGTCTTCCAGTGAGGAAGCAGAGTCTGGGGACTTTGGGTTGGCCTCTCAAATCTCTGGTGCTGAGGTCACTGAGGTGGTTAAAAAGCTCCTCTGTGGCAAGGCTCCCGGGGTGGATGAGATCCGCCAGGAGTTTCTTAAGGCTCTGGATGTTGTGGGGCTGTGTTGGCTGACGCGGCTCTGCAATATTGTGTGGACATCGAGGGCAGTCCCACTGGACTGGCAGACCGGGGTGGTGGCCCCCTTATTTAAAAAGGGGGACTGCAGGGTGTGTTCCAACTACAGGAGGATCACACTCCTGAGCCTTCCTGGTAAGGTCTATTCAGGGGTTCTGGAGAGGAGGGTCCGTCAGATTATTGAACCTCAGATTCAGGAGGAGCAATGTGGTTTTCATCCTGGCCG